CTATCCTTGCCTTCCTCCCTGCTTTCTTGCTGGGGAGGCCCCCTCTCTACCATCGATCCTACCAAGAGGGTTGACCTTGGTAGGATCTATGAAACCATACCACTTCTGTGTGGCCTGCTACTAATTACAGAAATAAATGAGAACCTGGAAGAAAGCATTACATCTGATTTCAGTCCCTAAGGTCAACAGTGACAGAAAGCAGGGCAACGTCCCAGGTATCAGAGGGCTTCAACAGAGCCTGACTCAGAGAAAAAATGGTTGCTATTAAGAAAGCAAGCCTGCAGTGCCCAGGCTGGTGGCCCAACGTACTCTTGGCAGAGTCTGGTTTTTTCCTTTACACCAGGGCAATAAAAGAGTGAACTTGATATAGTTGCACAGCAAGTCCTGTTAAATAATCGACTCTGGTTTTAAATGAGCAAGCCCTCCATTTCAGCATCTGGCTCCAACACATCAAATCAAGGGGAAGATTTTCCCAAAGGCTGAGAGTTAAGCTACTTACTGACAGCTGGAAGCTTAATTACTGCTTTTCTTTGAGCATTAACTCCCACTAGCCAATGACTACACATCCTATTAGCCATGTAAATGAACGTGTCGAAAAAAATCTCAAAGAAATTGGTCTAAATTTGAAGGAAATAAGGCAGTGGGATTAAGAGGAAAAAAAGGCCACTGAGCTCCACCCCTCCTTTCTGTGTTCTTTTCACCGGGATTTCAAAACATGTCTTTGTCAAGGAGGCTTGGCTACCAGGAGAGGACCAAATTTCTAAAGCCTGGAGACACTCGGAGTGCTTGTCCTCGATGATTCCACTCCTCAGACCTCCCAGCACCTCCAAGCCCTTTGGAGACGTTCGTCAATGTCCACAGTCCTTCAGCCAAGCTACCCTAAGCATGTGAGCCAATCTCTGCTCATGCAAACTCACCTATTTGCCTACAGAATTCCAAACCTTGCTAAGGAAATGTAAAAGGAGTTTATTCTGAAGGCATTCAACTTACCGCCACCTTTGTAGCAAACATGTACTTGTCCCGAAGCTGAAAGTCTCTCACTTCCTCAAGGATCACTTCCTGGTTTTCCCGGGACTGAAAGAAGTCTGTACTTCGAAAAACTGTGGAGTAACCAGAGGGTTCATGTCGTTCCACGTAGATGGTGTTTGGCTTGTCATAGGGGTCGATTCCCCTGAGGGGGAAAAAGGTGTTATCATTTTCATATTTAATCATTGAAGGCATAGAGGTTTTGCCATGCAATCAACTAGAATCTAGGGCTACCATTTGTTACAAGCAACAAATGATACTCTCTGTGCCTTTAACATATCCCTTTGTTCGTTGGCTCGGCATAGAGGGAGAGGACTTGCCATCTGCAAAGTGTTCTGTGTCGCTACCATTGTTTCCAAAGCATCTTGGGTTTAGTTAGCTCAAGGCAAGCTCTCACCCTGCTCATGAAAAGCAAAAAGAAGGAAAAGCATAAGGTGGAGTATTTCAGAATAAACAAACTATGGATTGCTTGAGGTTGTCAGCAAGTTTCTAGTCTCAAGTTAAGAACCTCTGAGGAATGAAGGAGAGTTTTCCCAAGATGCTACATCCTCAGAAGATGCAGCATTAGAGGAAACCACATTAGCAATCTCTGAACCTGCTCTGTCCCAGGGTCCCTGTCCTTTCTGCTCCCCACTGACGTCACTGATTCACACCATCTGGAGTCATCCTACCAGTGCATTTCAACTCCAGCAAGGTGCCTTTGCAAGCCTTCTCTCATACACACTGATATCCTTGATGTCCTTCAAAGGGGAGGCCTCTGTGCTTCTGCAGACACAAGACCCTGTGCAGAAGTACCCTCAGCATACACTCTAATCCCCCCACTAAATCCTACTCTCCTCTAAGATCAAGTTCAAAGCTCCTTCTTCCCAGAATCTTTCTCCTACTGCTCCCTTCTCTTCTCCCAACACGAGCAACACATTCAATTTTAAGTCTAACAAAGGTGTAAAACCACTCAGGTTGGGTGAATTTTGGAATGGATCTCATTACTTCATACAGAGCTTCAAACACAATGGAGTACATGTGTTGTCCAAGCTTCCCAGAGGAAGCACAGATGCCCTCAAAGGTCCTTTCTCAGATTGCCTTTCAGCCTACTAGGCTCCCAGCTGAACTCACACTTGCTGCACTGGATCCATTGTCCATAATGACAGATTCTTACTGCAGAATGATAAGGTCAGACTACACTGGAAAGCAGCTCTGAACAAGTAACCCCGGAAAGAGGCCCCATGTGGCAGCTGGGAAGGGAATTGACCTGCCCACGTTTTCCTAACATTCACAAAGACACCAACACCAGGCGGACCCCTTAGCAAATGAGAAAAAGGGTTGAAAAGTCAGGAAGAGAGCTTCACCAGGAGCTTTCAGGGTGATGACTTGAGGAGAGGCAGAGGTAACAGTCTTTATCTGGCTCCATATGGGCAATGGTGCTCAGAATAATGGAGGCAATCATTTCGAGTTCCTTCACAGATGGGCTGTTGAGAACATTAACCATATCAAAAAAAAAAAAAAAAAAAAAAAAGCAGGGGGAGAAA